ATACAAAGTAACAATGACTAGACATAGACTAAGACGGAGACTTGATAAGGCTATTTTTGCTAGACTAGAACAAGACGACAGGAAAAAGGGAAGAAAGGAAAATAAAAATAAAAACCTTAATACCCTAATAGACGACAAACGAACGAACCGACCGTTAACGAAAAACAAAAGACGCTGGACGTAGCTTCTAGGGTTCTTTCAAAAAGTCCATTCATCCCAATTAATCTCAAATTGATCAACTTTATATAATTCATATAATTGAAGATTTTTACAAATTTGACACTGGCAGCACTCGCAAGAAGTCAATGGCTATATTTAAAAATAATTAAAGAAGAACAATATTCGAAATTAGATTTTGCTTACTAAGAATCAGTAAAGAAAGGTGCTTCAGATATTTTAGTTTATTAAACTAGGAAAACGGAGAAAATTCCGATTAGTAGATTAGTTTGAATATGTTTAAGAATATTAATAGATTTATTTTTAAACCAAAATCACAATGAAACAGGTTTAATAAATACGTAACGGGTATTCAATAATTATTATTTGAGAGACTCCTATCAGCGATCTCAATTTGGTGTTCTATTCGAATTTTAAATAAAGGATATATTATGTACTTCACTTTTTTATTTCTTAACATTTATTTTTTAATTTGTGGATCATGGTTAAAGATATAAAGAAATACAAGCCAATCAATAAAAATTTTGTTATTTTATCGATCCTTGATATTAAGGATATGTCTACAAGATTTTCAAGCTCAACAAAACATCACAAAAATTGTATTGCATTGGAAATGTCCGAAATAATATGACAATAAAAAAGCGAGATTATTATCTTTTGTGTAAGATTCGTGAAAACTGAAGAAAATATAGCATATTTTTTATTGTGTATACGGGTCAACAAACTCACGATCCACCTGGTCTTAAGTGGATACCGTAGAGACCCATAGATACGTGAATGCCACTACCCATCTTAAAACTTGAGGTGTATGACTTAATTGTATCGTAATTACGCAAATCACAATTTTTGCCAATAAAATTAAAAACAATCGAAGTGTGCTAGCTAGTTGTACCCGCGACTGTGTCTGTGTAAATTTGATTTAAACTCGTTGAAATTATATTTTTAAATTAACCCACGTAACTTAATCATAGTGCGAGTCGGAAAACTTATAACGCCATCTATCGAGTACTACTATAAACGTGCTAATAACCTTTACTATTTTATATCAAATTAATGTACAGAGTTGCTTTTCTTTTTTAACGAACAAATGTATAAGAAGCAAAACTACAAGAACTTTTTTCAAAATCTAATTAACGGATGGATCTGGACTGCCCAATAATGCAACACTGGAGACGTATGCATGTTGAGCACTCTATATCTAAACTAGCCTTTTAGGTTATGGTAGTTTTTACATTCATTTTTATTTTTTGTTTTATTATTATTATTTTTATTTTATTCCGAAATTGTAGTTATTGTTTTTATTTAATTCTGGTATACTATATGTAATGTTAATGAATGTAATTAATATGTATGGATGCAAAATATGCGGTAAAAAAAATAAAAAAAAAATAAAGGAAATCTATCCAGGAATTTTTGTATTATCCGCGCACAATGACATACCTCTTTTTGTTTATACGTATTTATATAGGTAATGTACCTTATGGTTAGTCAAGAATTACTAGTGACAATACTACTATTATTACGAGATACAAGCCAACATATCTTCTATGTTATTTTTGTTGCCTACCTATGCTAGTAACCTCGAAGGGTTATGCCAGCTTTACTTAAAGGGTAGGTGAGCTCACGGGGCTCAGCCTGGCGAATAAGCTAACACTAGCCCTAACAAGGGCAATGCTTCGCCGAATCTACCAGCGGATCGGAATCGCGACCCACTGAGAAGATCCGGCGAGAAACTTAGTAGGCTGTGTCTGAGTGGATGATGACGATGTATTCCGAAGTTTATCTACGCAGCAAACGAAGTAACAGTTGTAATAAAAGCATCATAAAGTCATAAATATACATCAATAAAATTGTTATAACTTCTCCTTTTTATCGATGTTTCATCGCACAGGGATCATGAACGGTTGGGCGGATTAAAAATAAATTCTAAGTACATGTTGAGTCGGTTTCAGATTGTAATTTTGAAGGAGTATTAAAATAGAATACGGACGTAGGTTCATCATAATAAGGAAGTTAAAGAGAACTGCGTATGTTTTTTGGGTAGCAGAAGTTAGTTTAATGTTCATTTTTAAATTATACTAGCTGACCCGGCAGACTTCGTAGTGCCTCAATCGATAAATAAAAGACCTCTAAACTTTTGTATAAAATAAACTTAAAACAAACAAAATGAATTTTGATATTTATCTACCATTTAAACCTTCTCTGGACTTCCACAAATAATTCAAGACCAAAATTAGCCAAATCGATCCAGCCGTTCTCGAGTTTTAGCTAGACTAACGAACAGCAATTCATTTTTATATATATAGATTATATAATATAATCCAATTATTGAGTTGTGTAGTTTCTCAAAAAAGCTAACCATTAACTATTACTTTTTCAGTTAGCCCAAAAAAAAATACATTTCTGTTAAAATAATGTGAAGGTTTTTTTAGTGTTTTCAAATTTGTAATAGAAATATGTTAATACATTTTAATCGTGATCACGTTCACCATACAAAATTGTTACCTAAAGCTTCTTGAAGTCTAATTGAAGTGAATGGCAATTTGATTTTTAATAAACACTACATCGGTCCGAACGTATCCTTTCGATTCTAATAAAAATCAAAACCCACAAAATTATAATTTGCGTAATTACTGATGGTAGGACCTCTTGTTAGTCCGCACGGGTAGGTACCACCGCCCTGCCTATTTCTGCCGTGAAGCAGTAATGCGTTTCGGTTTGAAGGGTGGGGCAACTGTTGTAGATGTCCATGGGCTCCTGTAATCACTTAAAACACCAGGTGGGCTGTGAGCTCGTCCACCCATTGAAGCATTAAAATAATAATTAAAACCGTTAAATAATCATTCAGAAACGAACGAAATCGATATAATAATTCGTAATGCACAACGAGAGACGGTCTAGTCGAGACATTGAAACGTTGTGTTCGTATTTCGAAGACATTACAATTGAAGGTGTAGGCAGCGCGGGTGAATGACCGGAATCGGCGCGGGCGCGACCTTGCATCGACACCGCCTCACCTACATACGCCGACCGACGCCACGCCGATCGACAACTTTTGCTTTCGACAATCGCCAAAAAAACCGAAGCCCGATACTTCGATTCAGACGATTGCGAAAATAACGCATCTAGCCGATAATAAATACACTTTTAATGTATACTAGAGGTCCCGCAGTAGTCGAAATTCGACTATAATTAATTGGAATTGTAAGTTTGTACACTATGATGATTGTATTTTATACTTCTATAATCACAAATTTCGCCAAGACTACACTATAAAAAAATATTAATAAAGACAAACAATATTTAATCTATCCTCAATTTGACCACAGACGTCAAGAACAAAAGTTTGACAATAAATAGTATGCATGCGTGTGTGCGTCAAATACATGGTTATGTAGTGTGTGTAATGTTTTCTTTATTGATTTAATGGTTCTTTTATGCATTATTTAAAAAAATATTAGCATTGTGCACTTTTTCTCTATATTCTCTATAAGTGTAGAAAATTTCATACTCCTCCGTCCGCGCAATTTACGTAAAAAGGGATACAAAGTTTTTGCTTCACGTATTAATATATAGATGTTTTATCATAGTTCGCTATACAGGTAAACTAACATGAATATTAACAAACAAAAAAAATTTTTGTAATCGAACTCCTTGTATACTTACTCTAATTAATCAAGCTTGAAAACAAAATCCGATTAAATATAATGATCTTCAACGTCGAATTTAGATCTGCCAATAGATACTTGCTGCAGAATTCTTTAAAAGATTGAACAAAAAGTATTAAAAATTGGGTCAATTAACAAGAAAGCTTCCAGTGGAGTGCGAGAAAAGAGGGGAGAGTGCAACCCTAGCTGTACGGGCTTCACAAAGGGCGTGAGGCCACCCCCGTCGCCGCGAGACAAGCCCGCCCGCCCCCACCCTCCGCACCCTACACAAAAATTCCCTTCTACGAATCCTCAAAGCTCATAATCGTATAGCAATTTCCGTCGTCATTTATGTGTCAAAATTGTATTATTGGAATATACCTGTAGATTTCACTCAACAAAAAGATTCCGAAACAGGTTTCTTGCGTGAGCACTCTCGAATAGACCTTACAAACACGAAATCAATTTCGGGATTGTTAATTTACGGCTGCGTCGCAGTGTTATTTGAAGAGTCATGTATTGTCAAAATGTGTGGTTTGATTAATATTCGGCAACAGTCTCTTTAACGTTTGCACGTTTACAAAAGCGATTCGAAATAAAAATAAATCTGAACGCTCTCCGACAACGATTAAAGTTGTTAGTTCATTCGCCGCAGAACGCTGTCGCGTCGGTCCTACGTGCGGTGAATGTCACGCATCCGAAAATAATGTGTGCTCGGCGCGGACGGGGCCGGTCGTTCGGTCAGTGCAGTCTCGTTGCGTCACTGCACTGGGCCGCGGGGCATTGCACCTTGCGGCGTAACTCGTGANAAATAAATCTGAACGCTCTCCGACAACGATTAAAGTTGTTAGTTCATTCGCCGCAGAACGCTGTCGCGTCGGTCCTACGTGCGGTGAATGTCACGCATCCGAAAATAATGTGTGCTCGGCGCGGACGGGGCCGGTCGTTCGGTCAGTGCAGTCTCGTTGCGTCACTGCACTGGGCCGCGGGGCATTGCACCTTGCGGCGTAACTCGTGAGCCGCAACGGAACGCTCGTCCCATCTCTCTCTAACCACCAGTTCACTTGCATGCGATCGATTGAAACAATTCAACAGCTGACTTGTCAACCTCTCAACTTCGTCTATGACATAGTGAACTAGAACAACGAGGTCAAATGTTATTTCGTTTTGTTACAGTGGCGTGGCGGTGCTGAGTCCGACGGAAAGTGGCGGGTGCAGCGGTAGCGACATCACAGAGCCGCGCTCGCCGCGCAGTCCCGAGTCGGCGTGTAGCACCGCAGAAGAAGGCGCGGGCGCGCGCATGCCGCCGTGGGCGAGCGACCCGGCGCCGCCGGCACCACCACCGCGACGCCTCGCGGCACAACCGGTGCCCCTCCGGCGACCCAACCCCCTCGTGCATCGTCGAATCACGGAATATTTTAATCATAAAATGAAGCCTCAAAACGGCCTCAAGCGTGATGCCAGCGTGCTCGCCAACGACGACACCAAGAAAAAGTGCCTACCCAAGAACGGCGTCACGCACGACTGGGAAAAATATATATCTTATTTATCGCAGACGCTTAGTCCGAAAGTTTTAATGGACGTAGAAAAGCAAACCGAAGTTGCATCCAAACACCCAGCTCATTCCGCAAACGGATTGCTGAATACAAAATCGGAAGCTAAGAAACCATCATGTAAAACAAAAACCAACGGCTTAATAAGTTTTGGGAATTCTAAGCACATAAATGAAAAAGTTTCAACATCCATGAATGGTTTTGTAGAAATGAGGCATAGCGTATCAGACCAATTTAGCAAAGAAAAGCTACCAGGTATTCTTAACGGGCTGTTGGACGGGAAACAAAAAAATAACGAGTTAAAAAATTGCGTTGGTCCATCCACCAATGGGATCGTAAAGATAACTAAACTTACATCAAATGAAAGCAAACGAAAACTTGCAACAACATCAAGTGAACCGCCAAAAATCAGAAGAGCCCCCGCAACTTCGGCCGCTCAAACCAAAAAGAAGCAGATGCACTCTAAGCTCGAGCCTAAAGTTAATGGGATCGTTAGCTCCACCACCAGCACCAGGTTGGATAGTAGTATGAACGGAGTAACTTGTGGCTCAAATAATCTTAGTCTTAATCCTGTTACATCGAAGACCACACCGAACAAGAAGGAAACGCCTAAGAAAACTCCACAAGTTACAAGAAGAAGTAACCGGAAGTCATCTGCTTGTATTGCGAATAGTAAAAATCTTACGTGGTCCAAAGCGAATAACCTAAAACAAGTACAAAAACAGAAATGTGCAAACTCACCGCAAAATTCTCCCATTAAGAGTAGTCCGGCAGATTCAAGCAATGCTAATAATTTAAATAATATTCCACTGAAACCAAATATTCCAAATGGTGTTCGACAAGTTTCTATGACAATGAATGGGCCCCTTGGTAGTTTAAACGTACCTGTCAACAATTTGCAGAATTGCCACCCGCTTAATATCCAACAACCGTGTAATGGATCTGTTACTACGAATAATCTAGCATCGTTTGTCGCTGTTCCGCAAAATATGATGTTAACAACATTGAGGATACCGCCGAACGGACTGACTGCTCCGTCTATAGGTCAACAAAATGGTATAAGTGCCTTCAATAGGCCTAATGTAAACGTACAAAGTCCTACTAAATTAAACAGTCAGTTTGTATTTCCTCTAATGCAGAACCTAAACGGTACCGTAGTTCAGCTACCAAATTTAATGACAAAAATGCCGAATTTTATGCTCCAACAAGCATCTCAACTAGCGATGCAGAGGCAGGATCATCTGCAGAATCAGCAGTCACCGCAGATTCTCGTAAACGGTACACTATTAAAACTTGGAAACACAATGACTTCAGCATATCCCAATATGAACAAACCTACATCGGTCACAAACACTATACCGATGTTAAATAAAACGGTTCCTGGTCTACAGACGGTCAGTGTGCCAGTACATTCTAAACCTAATTATGCTGTTAATTTTAGTCATCCTGTTTTAATGCCACAACCAGGATTCATTATGACTTCGGTGCCAAACATGAATGTTAAAGAGACTTGGAGCTACACCGGCACGAATACTGTGTCTTCCTCTCAAATTTCGTGTTCCAGTACAATAATGAACCATCCACCAACTGTCATCGCAAATTATGCCACGCAGGCACTTCATTCGAGTAGTATACCCATTGCTCCTGTTAAACCACCCGATAATCCTATACAAGGAACAGATCCACCTAGTAGTACAGTCCTAGAGTCGGACCTGTTTGAAAAAACAAAGAAGAAATGTGACATCCCGTGGCTTTCTAAAACTGTTAACAACAATATATTTTCGTTAGACACCAATAAAATATCATCGAGGCCTTTTGCAGAAGTTGGTAATTTGTCGGAAAAATTAGAGGAATTAGCGGCAGTGAAAATAAAAGATGAATGTTATTTTAATATAGATAAGAGTATTAAACGTGAAGATAAAAGGCAAGAAATTAGGAAAGGGTATTCTGAGGAGTTAAGGAAAGTGGAAGAAGTCGCAAGACGTGAAGAGACTATCTTCACACAGATTACTGTTCTAAAGGATGTTTCGTCCAACGTCCAAAATACTGTGATAGAAGCCAACTTCTGTGGCTCTACTACCGAGTCCGAGTCGGGTATAAGTACGGACAAGTCTATAGACTCACCGAGCGACTCGCAGACGAGTAAGGAATGTGACGAGGACTCGGCTTTATCTTTAAGCATAAGTCTGTGTTCAGTAGATATTCAAAGCCAAAAGAGTCCGATACTTAAACAGCCGAAAACGTTGAGGTTTCCGCCTAAAAGTCATTTGTCGAAGCCAGGCGGCAACAACAAAAGGAAGTCCAGTACAGATACAACCTCCACTGTTTTGCTTTGTCTTTGGGAAGACTGTAAGAAGGAATTCGAAAACGATCCTGATTTATTAGATCACATACAGGTGAGATTTTTCATTTTCATTTCTTTATTTTATTTCATATTGCCTTCGATGGCCGCCGGTCCATTTGATCTTGATTGGTTATCGTCTCTCATAGATGTCTGCAATGCGAAAGGAACAAAAAGCCGATTTTCTAGCTTAAAGCATCTTTCAAACCTCGCTTGAAATAGTTAAATGATAGCGCTATAGAAACACGAAGAAGGGAAGTTCATTCCAGAACCTGATGGTACGTGGTAGAAATTAGTTCCGGAGGCGCACCGTGGAGGGAGTGCCGTAGCTCCAGGTGTTAGTGATGAACTCGGCTCTCAGAAATCAGTAAAAAGAAGATGAACGGGATCTTCAACAATTCCTGAGAAAACTCAGCATTCAATAAAAAGAAGATGAACGGGATCTCCAACGAACCAAGAAAATTCACAACCTCAGCATACGGTACCAAATGATCTCTGTAGATCCAGAAGATACAAACAATCCGTGTTATTAGGATTATCGACCATGCAAACGGCCCTCTTCTGTATGGAGTCAAATGGAAGTAACTGGTACTTGGAGCCTCAGTTCCGCGGTAGTAATACTTAAAGCGAGGTCTAGGTGGTAGGTAGCGGCTTGGCTCTGCCCCTGGCATTGTTGAAGTCCACGGGCGACGGTAATTCACCATCGGATGGGTCGTATGCTCTTCTGCTTACAAGGACAATAAAAAAAAACAAAAAAAAAACGTGGGGTCTAACTTGTTCTTTGTATGTGCTACATGTCTTTGGCTCGGCGTGCAGTATAACGTAGCCTTGTTCAGAACTCTTAATGTTTTGGCCAATAGTTTTGCTTCACCTTCCAAGTGACTCCGATACCGAACAACGCTTTATATAAAAAATCTAATAAATTATCCCTATATTGAAATATCGAAAGTATATATCTTTGTAGCTTTTGCACGACAATTTACAAAATTAATTGTAGCCTATTATGCATAGCCTAATAAGCCTATTTTTAAATTATCTTTATAGATCATTGAAATTTTCAGTTTTCAATATCCTAATATTTTTTATTTACATTTTAAACAAATTTAAATCAATATACACTTGTCGGTATAATCGCTCAAAGCGATTCCTTCGAGATATCCATAACGATATACCAAAACAAGGTCCTATAATAAACGAAGAGTTCATATACATATATTTTCATGTATTTCGAACAAAAAGAAGCTTAAAGATATCCAAATCGATATAGCTTTATGACATAAACAAACATATGAACTTTTTATATTAAAATGTAAATACATTCATAGACACAATGGACTAAAAAGATAAAGAATACTATATACATATACACATATGTATAAGTACATAGTAATTTAAAATAACACAAAGACACCAAAAAGTTAAAGAGTGCCTTATCACCTATAATTGCTGAAAGTAATCCAGCGATTACGCATGCCTGATTAACACTAGAAGTGCACCCCACAGTCGATTTCATCGGTCTACAAAAGAATAGTCAAAAACCCTGTGGAGTGCACAAGCATCACCGATTTTAGGTTTTCTGATGTTCTTGTGGAAAAGACGTGCATATCATCGTTCAACTCGAAACCTTGAAGATGTGAATGATGAAGAAGGGTGAAGAAAGATTGAAGAGAAAATATTTAACGATATATAAGGATTTTTGCGTTCCGAAGAAGATCAATTGCCAACCAATTGAGTTGAACACGAAATTCAGACATGGTCTAATCTTACGTAAGCCACCTATGAAACTTATACAGGAATTTTGAAGACACTGAAGTTCATCAAATAGTTCTTTCAGTGAGATCAAGATGCATTAGTCTAGTCGAGGCTAGGAAAGAGAAGAAATTGCGTCAGCTCAGTTTTAGTGGTAGTTAGGGAAAAATATTTAATCTTCCTACTGCTCTAGCTGATGCAAAGATTTTGCCACTAGCCTCTTCATCGTGGGTTTTACATTTAACCAAAACTGTACGAACTCTTCGTTCTCCTTATGGTATTTGTCAACTGTTACCCTAATACCGCAATTAATGTCAATACCGCGTCGATTTCTATGTTCTTAAAGAAATGGATGGGTTTAATACATAGGTGTTTCCAAGACTGACAAAAACATCCTAAATTTTCCAGAATGCTCACGTGGAAACTCAAGCAGGAAGGGAGAACTACGTATGCCTGTGGAGTCAATGCAAGGTCAGAGGGAAGCCGTCTTGTTCGAGGCTCTGGTTGGAGCGGCACGCGCTCTCACATGGAGGGAACAAACCATTCAAGTGCATCGTCGATGGATGCGAACGCCGATTCTCCACGCAGGTACAATTACGTTCCTTGATTCCCTTCATACACTTTTTTTGACAACTTATGATGATGACGGGTGCAAGTGGAGCAGATAAACTATTATACCTATAGTATCTTTAACATGGTGCGTGTATATAAAGAAAATTCGATGCTGTTGTCGCTTTTGTTTGTCTTAACGAGATTTTTCTTGAGGCTGAGTAATTTAGTGAAAAGTATTTTGTGACTTCATAAATAATTTAACAATTTAAAGAGAAGCTTATTAACATTCGAAGTATTTAGAACCTTTGCTAGCCGTCACGAGTAGTGTAGATTGTTAACACAAGTTTTTTTGTCATCCAATCGCCCTTTGAAATTCTTCTTGCAAGAAACTAATCGCATTCCTTCTTAATTAGGCATAGGGTTATGTGTTTTGCTAGTTTATATGTTTATATTTTGTTGTCTTCGTTGTTCGCTTGTAAGTTCTACTCGACCCTGTTGTGTTTTTTTTACTGTATGTTGGATAATATGTTAGAAGTAATCCGATCGCTAATGATTGGATCATTTTTTTGGGTTCCGTATGCCTTTTCCGGTCAGTGCCTTTGATTTTGTGTAGTTGAAAGCTTAATATGACGTCCCTTCCGTACGTACGGAGCTCTCGCATATATTTTCAGTTTCTTTTTTTTTTAATTCTTATCGGTACGTAATTCTTCTTCGATAATTATTCACCTCTAGCTAGTTGTGTGGTTTATCGTGATGTGATCCCATCATTGGTGTGAACGTGACACATCACGATTGCACTGTTTAATTCAGAAAGTATTTAATTATAATTTTTTATGTTATGTTCATCGATTATTGTCGTTATGGTAATGTTTTTTTTTTGTTTAAGGCAACCCATTGATAGCCATTTTTACTATGTTACAAATGTATATTTTTTTTGTCAAGATGGAATAGAGTAATCTTGGATAATTTTTTTCGTGTAGCTTACAAATGAAATTTTCTTCAAAATTTAAAAGTGAAGTAGAGTGTAATTCTGTTTTTAATCTTTCTGCTTTATGGGGTCTTCAAACGTGATGTCGTCACTATAAAATAAAACTACCACAATGGTGGATTTTTAAATTCTTGATATTCGCCGTTACATTTTCTTTCCCAAGGTCCTGGAGACGATGCCCAAGATGTCCATGAACGAATTGTCGATTTATATACATTTTTGTTTTCAATAAATATGTTGTATCGTTTGGCAAATTTGCAAGGTTTTCCCACAAATTTTCCGAAGCCTTGACATTTTTATTGTATTATTTTAATTTGTTACGTGAACGGCGACAGGATGCGATGCCGGGAAACGGATGAAAAACTCAAGTATTGTGCTAGTGTAAAAACTCAAAAGTGAAATAAAAACTTAAATTAATAATCATTCATCAAAATTATGTATAAAATAATACATTTGTCTATGATACGTTCGAGTTACAAAAAAAAAAAAAAACGATAACACAAACAAAAATGATCAGAATTAACGCAATCCTGATTGTTTCTTGTGAAAGCAGTGAAATAAAACAAAAGTGAAAGTTGATAAAATAAATAACATTCAAAAACATTTAAACCTCTAAATATTGTATAAGAGTAGTTTTTCTAGGTGAAATCATCCGCCTTCATTCATTTTCGCGTGCGGGTGGGCAGTCAACAGTATTTTAATAGCATATACCTACATTACAGATATTATTGGAACGCCACGTGAACAACCATTTTAATGAGGGTACGAGTAGTGGAGGCAGTAGTAAGAAGACATCCGAGTCTGGAGGCAAGCTGATCAGGCGAAACGGGAAGAAGCTGAGGTATCGGCGGCAGCCGTGGTCTGGTGAGTTCTTCATATAATTGAATTTGAATCGTAATTTTAATGAAATCTGTAACTCTAGTAAATGAAATTAATTACTGGTGGTAGGAGAACCTCTTGTGAGTCCGCACGGGTACCACCATCCTGCCTATATCTGCCGTGAAGCAATAATGCGTTTCGGTTTGAAGGGTGGGGCAGCCGTTGTAACTATACTTGAAACCTTAGAACTTATAGCTTAAGGTGGCGCATTTACGTTTTAGATGTCTAAGGGCTCCAGTAACCACTTAACACCAGGTGGGCTGTGAACTTGTCCACCCATCTAAGCAATAAAAAAAAATGTCTTCTAATGTTGAGGTTTAAACGTTTACAGCCCGCATGTTCGATTTCTTCGACGCCGGCACTATGGAGGGTCTGGTCTGGCGGCTGATGCGCTGCACGCGGTGGCGGCTGGGCGGCGCGTGTCCTCTGCGCGAGCCACGGGGGCGCCACACGCTGACGCTGCACGCCGCGCTCGCCGCCACGCGGTACAACGCCGCGACGCACACGCGGGAAGCGCTCGTCTCCTACTACCCGCCGCACGTGTACGTACGCCCTTATGTTACACCTCCGAACTATGTTCTAGAACCTCTGACGTACGAGCGAAACTAGCTTATTAGATAGATCAAATAATCGACTCTCTAAAACAGTATTTAAAAAAAAGATGCCTGGTGTCGTGGGACACCGGATAGGAACGAAGTTCCTTATAAAAATATTAATTTAAATTTGTATTCGAGGTATCGAGAAAATAAAACTGGAGGTTTCGCAACAACCCACGGTCATTCGGTGACGTGCGAACTTATTGTGGTACACTTCCTTCACGGTTGCTTGCATAAGAGTTAGTGTATTGCGCAAACGAACGTTCTGAGATCATGGTCAATGAATGATAAAAAAATATGTTATTTTTTGTACGTTATTACAAAGTTAAGTCGTACACTGTGTGCATTACTAATAAAAATCTTATGTTACGGACGTTTTTTCCCGGTTAGGGTGGGTACCTTTCGCATCGTCCCATAAGGAACTTCGTTCCAATAAAAACGGTGCGCGTGCACCTTGGTACACGTGAATGAAGTGAAACTTAAATCAGATTGCCCTTATAATAAGGAATGCTGTGTATAAGAGATGCGCGACATCTTCAACATTTATATTATATATATTTTAAATTATAGATAAAAAAATTAAAAAATCTGTATATATTTTTTTAAATACTTCATTAAAATATTGGCCGCTACTCGTCGCTAACGCTCGCGCTGTATGTAACAGGTATACTCCGCGCGTTCACTCTCGCTCTGTCTCGTTCTATTCCATGGTAGCGTTAAATGTTTAACGCAACCTCGTTGCAAGTCGCATTAAGAGTTTCACTTCAATAAAAAAAAACAATAAATAATTTCAGATATGAACAAAAATCGTCTAAAAAAAATAGTATTTTATTCGGTTTTACGTGAATCGTAAACGTTAAACCATTTTTTATGAATCTACATAGAATAGTTTCAAAATTTACCCGTACAATATAATAAAAATCTTATTATTTATTCCGAATGTATTTAATAATGAACTCTGTTGTCTAACTAAGTCTTCACTGTATGCCAAAATTTAAAAACTTCGACAGACTTCGATTACCTTCATGTGCAGCGTAATAACAATTAATAAAATATTTAATGGATTAAATATGGAATGCATTAATATAACGTAATTAACGTGGACTGTATAAGCATCGCCATTTGTACGTGTCTCATTGAAAATCACAATCAACATTTAACATCACTATGAATAACTTATGTCCTACCTATTAGGAAACGAAGAGGCGGAGTGGCGAATATTATTAAATAAAATTCCTTTTTTATATAAATAATAAAAATCTGACGTATAGACGTTAAGCTTAAAGTTCATAATTGAATGGCCATGCTCCGTCCGTTTCTCTGACAAGTCTAGTTGTGTAATATAACTTGTACCATGTTTTTGAATAATGACGTCATTTTACAAAAATAGGTAAATCTATGAGCGTGACACTAAATTTAGTAATTGTTTTATTTATGAGTCAATGTCAAACTTGCTTTTTTTGATTGGCGCAATTTGTGGTTATTTTTATAATGAGAAAGAAATCTATCAGTCAACGCACTGATTTAATGAGGATATATAAACAAATAAAAATTATATGCCTATCCTTCTCTCTCACCAACGTTAAGTAATTACAATGAATAATTAATAAGGGTAATAAATAATTAAATAGGTAATTAAATGTTCTAGATACACTTTTCATTTATAAAACTTAATTGTAGGAAATTGAATCTTATAGATCTAATACAGAATACAGAAACTGAGATGAATTAGGTAATTGGGGTTATACTTGGAATATTAAATATGGAAAGTTATTTAAACAAAAACAAAAATACATTAATCGAATTCTGCCGATTCTTTTAAAAATAGTGTACAATAGGCTAAGTTTAGATCAACTTCTAAATTTTTTGAATAGACACGATGATTTTTTAGTAATATTGCAATAAATATGTTAACATTTTGCAGGTAAGCATAGAAAGCGCCGACAACGTATCTAGTATCGTTCCACATTTTAGAGTTTAAAGATTTATTTACGCATAAATAGGTCACATATATTTTTTAGTTAATGCTTCTGAAAAAGAAGCCAGAAAAGGAATAAGCTTAGTCTTTGAATGGAATTCAAAAAGGGCCCGGGTTGGTTGGGAATATATAAATATAACAGTTAATAATATATAATTACATGAACCTTTTTACTAATTATCATACCAGATCTGGATTAAACTTTAATTTTCCTAGGATAAGAACTAAAGATTTTTTTTAAAAGTAAATCTCAATGGCCTTCTGTTGATTTCATTGTTTAGGGGCGGTATATCGATAAGTACCCACACTACAGCTACAAGTAATCGACTTTATAATGTTGTATTGTGAGATGGCAAAAAGTAAATAAAAACAGGTAAAACCGACTGTTCTCTTTGCGACGAAGGTTTATAATACACTTTACCAGTCAAAATGAGATACAGAGTGAGATTATATCCATCGAATGCAAATAAAAAATACCTGGAAAAAATCACAAAAAATAATATCAATGATGTAAACGTAATAAACCAAAGAAATGTGTATCATAAACCAATATGTAACCAATTCATGGTCATCGGATTAACTGTATTAATATAATAATCACTAATGCTTAACCATTTCATTAGCTTTGTGCATAGTAGACGAATCTCATAGTGATGAGGGGATCATGTGCATTCTTAAACTGTACTCATTCGAAATTTAAATCGATATTTCATTCGTGTATTTGAACATTTAATACTGTGAATCGATAACCGAATCTACTAGTACAGTAGAATTAATCGATAAATTGGCATCCGTTACAAACTATGCAGTTGATCCTCACATATGCGCTTGGCATGCCACACCCTCACTACAATATGCCACACAGAGCAACTATAACTTCAATTAAAAGTTGCTAGCATGATATAGCGGAGTCACTGCATAGTAAAATCATATCGATTAAATTTAATATTATATTGTATGATATAATATGAAATGATTATAATAATATAATATTATTATTGTATAGTACAATATAATATTGTATAAAATTATTGAATTTTATTGTTCCTTAAAGCTCCGTTCTATTGAACTTCAAATTGTTCTTTACACAGAACAGCGCTGAAGGTATCATTAGTTCAGTGCTTAGTATAATGTAAACCTATCTAGCTATTGTTTTTCGTTATCAAATAAATATTTTGAATTTTCGTGTATTATATTTTACATGGTACGTACTGATATTGGAAAAGAGCAAAACCCGAGTTTGTTGCCGATTCTTTTCAGCGGTAAAGTCATGGCTGTCTATAAATGAATTGATTTTGATCAACGATTTGTAAAATCAACATTTTTAAAATCCTCTTAAATTCTTTAAGATATCACTAATAAAATTGGAGCAATTTTGGAACACTGTAATTTTCGTAATTTTAATGATCAGTTTCTAAAATTTGAATATTTTATGCAAGTCGCCATGCAGTGACGTCAGACTTTGATCGTAGGTGCTAGCAATTCTGGGTTGCGAGTCCCCTAAAATGTGTTCTTTGTATTCATTGTATTCATTGTTCATTTGTATGTGTCTTTCTCATTAAATCCGAATTTTCTTAGAACTTTCCTTCTTGTGCCGTACCGAATGTTCTAGAGTATTTTATTTCAGAGCTTTGTGGTAGTACTGCACGCCTTTCGATTATTATTTTTTCGTTGAAATGGGATAGCAACCCATTGTTACGCTGCAAACACAACGATTAAGATATGAATAGACGTATTTTATTATATTTCAGATCCAGATGCAAAACATACACATGCTGTGAATTAAAATATAAATATGCCAATTACAATGTGTGTTTGCAGTTTCCTCTGTGTGGCGATATTGTCAACGGCGATTTCAAACAAGTCCTTTGATTGCAGGCTAGAAGACGAGTGGGTGCCGGAGAAGGACGTCGAGAGGATAAAGCGCGTCGAGATCTCCCAGCTGCCGGTTCACACGAAGGTGATGCTATACGAACAGTTCTGCTCGTCGTACAAGAAGGCGACGTCTCCTCCTCCCCCACCCCGGACGCCCGCGCGCCGCCCTCTGCCGCCCGCCCCTCCCCTCCCCTCGCGAACGCTCCCCGCCAGACACTGCACCTCCTCGCGCCTCCTCAACAACCTGATCGCGAAGCAGAGGAGGAACGCCGACATGCGGAACGAATGCAGCGCCACCAACCTTCCCATGCTGTACAAAGAAGAGGAGAAGGAGAAAGTCGAAGTGACCGGCGCGAAGAAACGGAAGCTCGGTCGGCGGTACGGCGGGAACGCCTTCTGGCCGAGCGGACGATAATCCACGACTCGCGTCGCCCGGACTCTAGTGAGCGACGCGGAGGATCGATGTTCATCGTTTAGTTAATATTATTTGGTACGTAAGACGCTAGAGTTTCGTTTAGTGCAGACCGTACCTCTGCACGTGTGTCGGTAGGACGCTGGACGCGGACTCTGCGTCGCTCGCTCCACAGCTTACAGTTAGGTAGTACTAATGTAGACCGCGCGCCGGGCGGACCACGCGTCCCCGTAGGAAAATTATCGCCAAAGATTGTTCGAGAACCCGTAGAGGTACGTAAGCTGCTCGCGCGGAGCAGACGTAAATTATTCACAAGACTGATGCTTACTTTTTTATATTGATATTTGAACGGTTCAAGGTTCGAGCCTTAGCGCCGCGACGAGGGCGCCGCGATCAAACGTGTGTACATAGTTAGTTGGAAGCGTACGGACGGGTGCAGGCCCGTTGTACATAGACGATGTAGTGGTCCGCGCCCCGCCCGGGGAGTGGCCAGGTAGTCTGAATATATAGGTTAGCTTAAGTAAGTGACGACCAGCGATACGAATCACTGCCAGATTTGTAAATAGTTTTAGTGTTAATGTAAAGGTAATTATTAATTTGGCTTTCTATTACTTGCGTTGTGTTCGGCGCGATGGTTGGGGTGACTCGTCAGCCCCGCTTGAGGTGCCAAGTTTAGATGTCCATCGTCGTGGTCACGAACGCTCAGCGACGAAGTCGTTTCGGTTGTAAGCGCGCGTATTCATGGTTCACCAAGTGCCTGACTGAGCACATGTCGATAGTTACGTGTTCATTGCGCGTCGAGACCCGCACGCCGGATTCGATTATGTTTCATTGTAAACGTTGTATAACCCGTCTTAATATTCCGGAAAGTTTATTTAAAATATTTTGGTGACGTTTTCTGTCTGTGTGTAAATTTTATTTCATGTAATGACGAAACCGCCTCGGAGCTGTGTTTAGTGACGTCCATAGTTCTCGCGCGTTTCCGCTGAGTCGACTGACTAATTTTTCCTCACGATCCGAAAGTGTTCACAGAATCCGATAGTTTTAAAGTAACGTAGAACTTAGATGTAGTCGTCGACTTGGCACAGAGCGCCGGGGGAGCTCGATACGACAATAAATGTTTAATTTTAATAGTCGATGTTCGCGTTCGACTCTGTGGAAACGCGCACGGAGCCTCGGGATTATGTACCGTTAGCAATAACAAATATTTGTGATAAGCGAAATTAATTAATTTACACGTGTTGACCGGTTCGATTCTGCGCACAAACATTATATTAATCGTCATACGTTTATTATATATAGCGGCGTACAAAAATATAGATTTTGTAATTTTTCGTAACGAATGTCACGGAGACATCTAATTGTTTGTATGTCTATGGTCTAATGGTTAAAACGATTTTGATATTCGATTTGTGTTGTAGTTGTTTTAAGAAATAGTGTTGTAGCGAAATCAATCGAGAAGTTTATCGATGTACGATTCCCGAAAACCGACAGGTGGCGCTGCTGATTTGAAAAATGTTTACATTGCGCGCTCACCGAATGCGAAGTAACTTGAACGGAAATTGTTTAGAATTGAAGTAAAAAACTGGGGCTCAGAAATAATTAGTTTGAATTTGTTCTAATGATCGAATTTTCAGAAAGAAGAGACATTGCAACGTAAAATCGATTACCTTGTTAGTTTAGGCCTTGATGACCTTCAGGTCTTTAGGGTCTCTGATTTTCTTCCCGGTCAGAGTCGATATCATTGTTAGATTCGGTCCCCGTAACACAAGAGAAAATTCTGGCCTTGGGGCCTTCCAATTTGATTACCACCCATCGATGCTTCGCGACAAAATTCAACATGAAGGTGGCACTTGTTCTACCACCACTAATATACGTACATACAAAAACACGACCTGTATATGTATATAGGGGTGTGTTTTTTCTGTAAAATAAAAATCGAATATCAAAATTGGAATCGATATTTTGCAATGTAACTTTAATTGTCGACATCGCATCACAGTAATCGTGTCGAGGTCGAATAGGGGGGTCCGTCTCCCCTGCGACCCCACCCTACGCCCACACGGGGGACGCGTGGTTACTGTGACCCGTGTCGGTATCGTCTCACAAAAATGTTAACGAAAGCAATATTAATTAATAATTACTCGCGTGGACTCAAAAAGGCGCGTCGGACGAAATCATAGATATACGAAGGTTTAGAAATGAATCGTTGCGACTTACAGAAATGTATTCAAAGCGAAACGTGTGTTGTTAATATTTCAAGTACATTCGAAATGTGATACTGTTATTTGAATTATTAAAAAGGGAATATGTAAATAAATAAATGTATATGTATAAATAAAATAAATAAATATATTATTTTTGAATTCGACTGCGCCTTTTGCGTCCACGGAGTTTAGTTTTACACCAATAATCGTAATCGTCTGGTACAGTGTTTAGATTATATGGGAAAAGACTTTTTGATGCCTCTATACAGATGTTGACAGATTATAGTAACAATGCCTTTTTAGCGTTTTAAGGGTTTATATTTATGATATACAAGTCGAATGTCATATTTGTGTTCCGTGCTCACGAGATCTCGCTAGTAATGTTTAGTTAGTGCCTGTAGCGTTAAGTTAGAATGAATTGTGTCCGGTGGTCACGGCGAGACACCGCACTCCGCAGACGTTCGCTTTTCGAGAATGGAGATTCTGTTAGATTCATTATTCTTCTCTTTTTTTTAGTTTAAAAACAGTGTAGTTTGACGAGTGTAATATAGAGGGAGCCTTAGGCGAGTGTAGAACACGTCAGCTGGTAGGAGTAAGGGATTGGCTTGAGGGATGCTGTTAGAAGGGTTGCCAAACGTGTAGGGCTGCGCTGTGTTCTCGGTGCGCGTAATGTAAATTTTTGTAAAAATAAATAGTACACAAATACAATTAGTTTAATTTTCAGTTAAATGTAAATGTATTTTTTTTTGCAACACTGAACATTTTTTGTTCATGTCAATCCATGATATCAATCACTTTGTAAAGATCAGTAACCTTTCGAGTGATCCTTAATGAGCGTTTCATCAAAATGAGCTAATTTAATGTAGAAAATGTAATTTATGTGAAGTAAATGTTGGCAACCCTAGAGAATTGTTCGAGAGCATTATTGCGACGGCTCACTTGGCTCTGTTCAAAGTTGCATCGGCTGTCTTGCTCTGTTATTAAGGGAGGGAGAGAGATAGATAGTTTTGAAATGAAAAGTTAGGAAATTTTGTCTCGTAGTCAAGCTGGTGCCTGATCGGATGTTTGTTGTGGGATTCGTATGCTGTACAGAGTGAGGATAGGAGCAGATTGTCCGGCTTCCTATTTTAGAAAATAACCCGAGGTTAAACAAACTGCAGTATATACTTTACATTCAAGGGGGGTAAAGGAAAATAACACTTGATTAGTTGTTCCTCCAACGCAGTTAGGATTTCCTTCTTGGAAAGTATCGCAATGTACTGATTATTATTTTAATTAAATTTAAAGAAATTTAGTTTAATTTTTAACAGCACTGACGGTAGTGCCATATTTTATTGGCTCGCTTAATTAGTTTTTTTTTTTTGTTTAAATAAATTATTTTTCATAGCGAAATTCGACACCAAATTCGTAAAGACAACATTTCGTATTTGTTCATCCACGTCATACATAGAATGGACTTGAATATTTGATCTCAGTTAATTCGGCAGTGCTTGGATCGGAGGGCATGCTCGGGGGGGAAGAGAGGGGGGTTGGGGTCGTTGCGGGGGATCCGACATTAGTTACTCTCAGAACGCCTCGTCCGGTGCGAGCGATTAGCGGATCAACGTTTTAGTTTTAGATTTTAGTGGGTTTTTTGATAACGAATTGAATTAAATGAACAATATTTTGTGAAAACGGTCTACAACGTGGAATTATTGAAAGCATTTTGATAGTATTCTTAAGATCGAGAATAAAAATAAAAAAGATATATTTTTGTCACTGCCTCCAGTAATAGTAGTGTTACGGTTGTGTCGTGTGCAAGGAATGTTTGTTGAAACGTCTAGAAGCGTTGCCTTGCGTATGACGGCGCCGCAGGGAGCAAAACATTCGATTTTAACAGTTCTCGATATCTTTTACGTTTTGTTGAGTACATCCGATCCGCGTTTCGATACGAGAGCGGCTCGGGCTTTGGTGACGGGACGCCAGACATTTTACAGTATTACCAGTTGAATATGACGCTACTTAGTTGGCCGGCTTGGCGTGTGTTTAAATCGGCAAAATTAAAATTGACGTATTTTATTCACAATATTTGAAGATATTCGTCAATTGCAAATGGCCCGGTTAACTTGGGTGTCCAGAATTTTAAATAATAAAATTTAAATTTTTCCGTACTTGTCGCCGCAATGTAATACAAATACCGACCGCACGTTTACATTGCCGGTTTTTTTTTTTTTTGGGAAAAATTATTAAGTACTTGTAGGAACATTCTAATCACACATACGAATTGTTAACAAGTTTATCTTTATATAGTTTGTGTATATGACAAAGGCCAACTAAGATAGCGCATATTGGAAGTCGACGGTCTCGGAGTTTTGAATTGTCGAGGCCATCCACAGAAAGAGAGATAGTCGGGAATGTATATAGTAAAGTATTTATTAAGTATCAGGCTGCATACTGTAAGATGTTTCGCGAGTCCACACATTGGGGGCCTCTAGTACGCTAGCGCGCGTCATTTTCCTAAACGAATGCGTTTATTATATGAATGTCTTTATTGTAAATGTTTGACGAGAACATTGCACTCTATTTTAAGATGTTATGCGTCCCCTATAGTGTGCATTGATTATATTCAATTTTGTAGATATTTAATTATATATAGTATAATGTTTAAATGCGTTGTCTTATTTGCTTATACCCCTTTAAGGAACACGAAAAAAAAAACTTTTTTTTTTTTTGTTTTGTTTAAATGTAATATTTTGTACCCAAACTGAAGATGGGTGGATCTACCTCAATTATTTTATCACACACAATTTCGGGCACGTTAATAGTGAATGTTTAATTTAATGTGGAAATTTGAATTTTTTGTTCGTTTTAGTTAATTTTCATAGTGACGAGAATGAATTTGTCCTGTCTCAAGTACTGTAACTTATATTAAATACATATTGTATGATTGATGATGATGTGTTTTATTCTATTGTCAATGGGCTCAATGTTCGGACTGCGGAGACGACCTGGACTCCGGTATGAAGGGGTTACCCTTGGACTTACCAATGGTATTGTGGGTCCTGTTTAACTGCGCTTGCAATTAAGATAACCCTTTGTTTTTCTGCTTATGCTAGTTAGGCTATTAGGTAAAAGTATCAGAGTTATTGCATTACCATCACTCCTTGACCCGAGTGTAAATTTTTTAGATTAATTTAGTGCTTAGAATTGGTAAATAATGCACAGAAAAATTCCGTTCGATAAAGGTCAAGCTGAAAAAGGGTTTCCCTTCCGATGAGGAATAGTCCCTACCGCGCATGACCTTCAGAAGTGACAGAGACACGGCCAAGCCTCCTCTGACGCTGCTGATATTTTTAGACTTCATTTAAAGGAGAGGAGAATATGTTAGTGCAGTGGCATTAAACCCAACAAGTGGTATAACACCATCGGTAATATGGACACATTTATATTGCTTAAACCGGTGAACAAGCTCACGGTCCACTCGTTGCTAGGTGGGTACCGAAACTAATAGTCGCCAATAACGTAAATACTGCCACCGACCTTGAGACATGAGTTCTACTTCTCAGTTCGATAGTAACAACGGGTGCCTCATCCTTCAATCTGGAACGCATTACTGCTTTGCGGCAGAAATAGGCAGGGTCGTGGTTACTACCTGTGCGGGCTTACAGGACATGCTATCACCAGTAATTGCGAGAATTATAACTTGATGATTGGTTTTTATTACTACAGGGACTGCTTTCACCGTGGAAGTCTTTCGTGAACATTTGTTGAGTATGTATTGTTTTGTTGAGTAGTCATTAGAAAAATTGGTTACCTCATCGCCAGCGGAATACGAATACCAGAACGGATGTATGAATCGATATGAATTCACCAGGCTCCTTATCCTTTAGACCACGATGACCCTACCACCCTGTTGTCATCATCTTGGATAAGGAATAATTCAAANTTTCACCGTGGAAGTCTTTCGTGAACATTTGTTGAGTATGTATTGTTTTGTTGAGTAGTCATTAGAAAAATTGGTTACCTCATCGCCAGCGGAATACGAATACCAGAACGGATGTATGAATCGATATGAATTCACCAGGCTCCTTATCCTTTAGACCACGATGACCCTACCACCCTGTTGTCATCATCTTGGATAAGGAATAATTCAAATGTTGGTAGGGCGTAACATTAGCTCGCATAGGGTTTATGAGTTCTGGTAACCACTTTACACCAAATGGATCGTTGGCTAGTTCATCATTCTAAGCAAAAATGACCAACATGAGTTTTAAGTGTCATTTGTAAGTGCTGTCTTACCATTTAAACTGGAAGCCACGATTTTTTCGCAGCCGAAATAATCAGGACGGGAATACCATATTTACGTTCTTAGGATATCACCTAACACCAGTGAATATCGATTTTCGACATGCCAGTATTATACCAATAGGATAAATACTCGGAGAATGCTGCTGAAGTTGATCCTTCAATTCTTTTACGACACCCACAGGAAGTGGGGTGTGTTTCTATGCCGACATCACGCAAAAAAGTTAGATGTATCAGATTGAGCTTAAATACATTCTTTAAACATGAATTTTGAGACGCACTAAGTAATTAAACATTACACTTTAACGGGTAGGTAATAGACAGAAGTTTTTTTTTGTCTGTAAACTCGACAAAATTATCATCGATTGCTTTCTTCGTGACTACGTGAAAGAAATACAAACCTATAACTTTTTTTATTCATTTCCATTGTACTTTAATTATTGCAATATGAAAATCAAATAAGTGTTTCGCTAAAGAGTGTAGCAACAGAGCTTGTTGCTAGGTTAGCAAACATATCTTGTTGCCATGTCGATATTAAACGCTCGCTATAACCTAGAAATAACTTTTTTTTTCATTTCCATTTTACTTTCATTATTGCAATATGAAGATGAAATAAGTGTTTCGCTAAAGAGCATAGCAATAGAGCTTGTTGCTATGTTAGCAACAGAACTTGTTGCCATGTCGATATTAAACGCTCGTTATAACCTAGAAATATGTAAAACCTATTTAATCGGTATAACCTGCAGATTGCTTTTTGATTCTTAGGTAATTTATAAAACATTATCCTATGAATTTGTTACGTATCCCTTTAATATCATACGATTTTGAGAAGCCAATTAAATTAAAGTGCATTAAATAACCTTGGAATAAAATACACGTGTCTAAAAAGCATAGTTAACGTGTGCAAGTTGCATGTAGGTATTATTTTGCGACGTTAGAATATGGTTTCTAATTTCTATGAGCGTCATTGTCACGATTGTTTTTGCAGTAATGCCGCCGTGGTAGGTATAAAGTCCAGGTCCGTACTAAGATATTATGGGGGTTCTAGTTTATTTACTCTATAAATTGGAAAATATATCATTAATCGAATTCATATAGGTTTGCAGACAATCATAACAAAGGTAGACACTATAGTATAGGGTCGTTGGTTCGATTCTTACTTTTTTATTTTTTTTATTGCTTAGATGGTTGGACGAGCTCACAGCCCACCTGGTGTTAAGTGGTTACTGGAGCCCATAGATATCCACAAAGTAAATGCGCCACCCATCCGAACAACTCACTTCAAACAAACATTCGCGTACCGAACAGCTCTGTATGCTGGATGCTTAATAATGTATTATTATATTTAAACGTTTATTCCTATACAGGAGCTATAAACTCCTAACTGTACTTTTTGTAGCAATTTCAAAAAATATTTCATTACGTTGCTCTGTAAAAACAAAGTAGGTATTTCATTTTATTTGTTTCAATTACAAATGTACATACTCTACTATGACTACCAATTACATTAAATTGTAAAAACAACAAAACGATATTTAAAGTCGGTTTTCATAGTAAATTAGTTCGCAATACAAAATAGAATAGAATGTTATAGCTTCATATTTTTTCATTTTTGTCACCGCTATTTGATTGATCATCATCATCATCATCAGCCTGTATCTCTCCACTGCTGGATGTAGGCCTCTCCCATAGTCCGCCACAATAAACGATCCTTCGCCTTCCGCATCCAATCTTTTCCAGCATATCGCCGCAAGTCATCGGTCCAACGGGCAAGGGGACGCCCAACGCTGCGCTTACTGGTACGCGGTCTCCAGTCCACGTCTGCTCCATCGGCCATCGGTTCTGCGACACGTACGTCCGGCCGGTATTTGATTGATATTCTGCGTTAATTCAACAGATTGTTAGAAACAGCGCCAGCACCACAAAATTCACTTTAAAGTCACTTTATCTCACGAGATGCTAATAGAGCGAACTAACGAACTAACTAAGCGAAATAGAAAATTCCTACAGATTTTTTTCTGAAAATCTTCTATTTCCTCATTTTCGTTTTTTTTTGTTTAGGGACTAGAATTACTTTTCTAACACGAAAAATATTTCATTCGTTCTTTTTTTGTAAATTCATTTTTCGAAATCCCTGCCACCTTTCTAGAGACATAAAAGTTCAATTGTAGACGTGCAGCGTAGACAGTTATACTAACCTAGTCATTACGATTTTATTCATTTTGTCACACGATGTTGTTCGTTCATCGTGGATGTAGGTAATTCGTAAGCATGTGTTAGGTACACGTATTCGGGGGAGGGTGATGCGAGAGATGTGCTCCGGACTAAAGGCTTCACTCTTCCCCCTTTGCCTTTTCATGAGTTCTGTCTCATGTGAGGTTTGACCGTAGGTTGTTAAGCGACAGGAGGTTTTAGTCAGTTCGAAGGGCGGAAGACCGGCGATTTCCTTCCGATCAAAAAAAAAAACTTACACGTATTCACTAACATAGACTTGTAACTGATTCGAGCTCCACTATAGTCGCATCACTGGATACATCAACATCACTCTATAGTAGTCCACTCATGGACATAAGCCTCTCCAATTGCTCGCCACTAAGCACGATCATCGGCTTCTCTCATCCAGCTCTTGCCAACGAAGGAGTTGGAGGTGAATTAGTTGTATTTTTTTTACTGCTTAAATGGCTGGACGAGCTCACAGCCCACCTGATGTTAATTGGTTACTGTAGCCTATAGACCTCTACAACGTAAATGCGCCACCCACCTTGAGATATAAGTTCTAAGGTCTCAAGTATAGTTACAGCGGCTGCCCACCCTTCAAACCGAAACGCATCACTGCTTCACGGCAGAAATAGGGGGGGTGGTGGTACCTACCCGTGCGGACTCACAAGAGGTCCTACCACCAGTAAAATTTGTATACATACTTTATTACCAAACCAGTTGTATAGTTTATTAATACTGATTAATTTTTAATGTTAATTTTAAAAGAAATTAAGAGCTTTAAATATTATTTTCTTATTAAATTACAGAAAACAGAATTAAGTCTTTTATTTTATATTCATTCTGAAGTACTCCAAGTCATTATAAAGGTGACTTTCCAGGTTTTGAACTCGATACGCTGGTTCAAAACCGTCAAAATACCCACCCCATTATTTTACTGATTACGTATCACTGAATACCTATAAATGATTTGTGAAAGGTTTTCACTTTAGCCAGGGAACGGTTGCGATAAATGTTTCACAAGGCAATCGGACACCTGGGCAGAGGTCCGCAACCAACAATCAATCGTTCAACATTATGAAATTAATATTATCGCTTCACTTTACGGAGACGAATTAAATCCATATTCAGTATTAAGTGGTTACTGGAGCCCATGGACATCTACAACGTAAATACGCCACCCACCTTGAGATATAAGTTCTAAGATCTCGAAGTATAGTTACAGCGGCTGCCCCCCTTTCAAACCGAAACGCATTACTGCTTCACGGCAGAAATAGGCAGGGCCGTGGTACCTACCCGCGTGGACTCACAAGAGGTCCTACCACCAGTAATTACGCAAATTATACTTTTGCGGGTTTCATTTTTATTACATGATGCTATTCCTACACCGTGGAAGTCAATCGTGAACATTTGTTGAGTAC